CTCACGTTGCAAAACAGGCATGGAGCTAGGGCTCCCTGGGGCTAGGAAAGACATATGAGACTTTATAGGCAAAATGGTAACAGATGCACAGACTACTGCAGCACAAAACAACATGAAGATTCGGTACAACATCATTAGGCAGTTGTCAGGCAGAATAACAAATACCAGCTGACCAGTTCAAGACAATGAGTGCTACTTAACAATGAAGACATCAGAACAATTAAAGATATGTAGGCAGTACTTTAATCAACTACTGAATGCCGAGCCAGTAGTCAATCCCCCAGCTAGAGGAAAGAGAAGATCTGGACATTGAACTAGGACCTGTAACCAGAGTAGAAGTAGAGAGGGCTGTTCATTGGTAAAAAAAAAAAAAAAAAAGTGGAAAGGCACCAGTTCCAGTTAAAATTCCAACAGAGGTTCTTAAGTCAGACTTGAAGAACACAGCAGAAATGTTGGTAGGCGTCTTAGATATATGGGATGAAGAAAAAACACAAACAAGCAGGAAAAGGGCCATATAGTGAAGCTGCCAAAGAAAGTATATCCGACTTCTGCTCCTATGTCAATTGGGCACTTTAGAAAAATCACATCCTTAAGTGCCAGGCCAGAAAAATGTTGGCCTAGGGTTCGCTAACATTGAAGAATATGCCTGAAATAGTAATAATTTTGTAACGTTTCAGACAAAAAGGTATTGTGAAGGGAAAAAAATCACTGAAAATGGTAAATACTATTATTTGAGTGGAAAAATCAGAACATGGGACAAGGATACTCATCCTTAGACCCGGAGCAGTGAAGCAGGTTGGTCCTCTGTTGCAGTATTAGTTTATTACATTTCAGTGATGCACAGTCAGCAGAATGCTGGCAGCTACGAGTTGTATTCTTCTTAAGAACACTACCAACACCAACCAGGTAATTCAAAAGCCTCACATAAGAGTTTTTCTGCATGCATGTGTTGGGAAAATATGATGAGAATGCACCTAAGAAATAAAGTAGCAGCGGCGCTTAGTGTTAATTTACTGGCACTATTGCTACCAGATAGGTTAAAGCTGCTTTGGCCTTTGCAGCTGGCTTCTTAGCACTGATACAACTATGAGAGTCATTGCCCAGGCTGCAGAGAAGGAAAGCAAAGGAGAGTAATTCCTAGAGCCCATGGGCCAAACTCAGCTTTGTCGTAATACCGATGGAAATCAGGAGTGACTGAAGTAGAGCAGCTACAGTGACACAAATTCCACAGCATGGTACTGGTATCACTTCAGAGCATTTTAATTTCATTCAGCTCTCTCTCCTTAATCCTACTCCACTGAGTGCCTTGGGACAGCAGGGGAGGGCTCCAAGTGAAATTATCCCCTGTAGTGGTACTATTGTGCTTCAGGGTTTGTTAGCTGGTCCACACCCTGGGGTGGTGAGCAGCACTGGGCGTCTGGAACAAGGAAGTCAGCCGTGGACTGTGGACGGTGGCTGTGATCTCTACATGGGCATATGGATGCAGGGTCAGGTCAGGAGGTTATAAATGCATTAGCCTGTCTGCTTGAGTTCAATCTGTTCTACTCAGGGAGATCTTGGGTATATTCAGGGACTTGGGAACGGTAGGTGGGGTGGCCAAAACTCGCAATTGTGAGATCCTTGTATCAAGCTAGAGCCACGGCTGGTGAGGAGCAGTGGGGAGCTTTTGTGTTCATTTTTGAGGAGGCTTGATAACACCTCACTGGAGGTGGACAGCATGCTTGCAACCCTTAAATATGCAGAGACCAGACCAAACACTTGGCACTAACAGCCTTGCCAATTATCACCCAGTGTCTAATACGTCCCCTCTGAGGAAGAGTACTGAGGTGATGTAGGAGTAACCAGTCAAAGTATGTTACTGCAGGTTGTCCTCAATTCCTCCAGTCTAGTTTTAGATGTCAGCCCAGCACACAATATAGACAATACTGCTCCCCATAGCTGATGATCTCGTAGCAATGGAGACAGGTAACACATCTGCACAGACTCTATTGAATCTAACAACGGCCTCTGCTATGTCAGCATTGACAACGAGGTTTTGTAGTCATATCTGTGTGATCTTGCAAGAGTAAATGAGGTGGCTCTCCCGTGTGCTATTTCCCTGCTCTGTAACAGATAGTTCGGGGTAGTAAAGGGAATACCCCCTTTCTCCCCAAGTTCTCCCGTAGGATTCTATCTGGTCATCTCTTCTACTTCACGTGTTTCCACCGCAACTAATTAACTTTATTTAATAACTTCCTATATGCACTTAATAAAGGTCTGTGTAGTTTCTAAGATTTGGAGGCACCTGAAGTTTCAGACAAATTCACATAAAACAGTACAACCATCTTGTATCCATAAACAGATAATCACCATACACCCACAGAATCTATGTAAAAAAAAAGATCGAAGTCTTTCTGAAACACTCAGCATACGTTTGATTGGGATAACCCCCAGCTCAGGTTGGTCTGGCTGGGTCCATGTTACCAGTGGATAAGAGTGATCCCTAAATCAAAAGTGAGGCACATATGCCTCATCTTCTGAACTTCTGTACAGACTTCCACTCTGAGGGTCGTATTAAATGTTCAAATCATTTTACCAAGTCCTTTCAGTATCAGCACAAACAACTTGTATTAAGTCTTTTGAAAAGCACCCAGGTAACATATTCACTTTCCCCTAACTCTTGACAGGTGGTAATAACGTTCTCCCATTTCTTTGAGTGATTTGATTTGAAGGCTTTTTTATATACAATTACTTAATTGCAGCTTTTTGAAAAGGGTGACGCCCGCACGTGGAACCTGAATAATATTTCAACAAGTTTTAAGAAGCTGTCATTTGCTCTGATGTCTCCCAAAGTCTCGGTACATTTTGTCATCCCATTTTAGCTATTTTTTTAATACAGTGGGGTTTAGTTTCCTATCTATGCACAATGTGTAGCTAGAGGTGGTTTAGCTTCCCCGGGTACATCAAATATTTATATTACTCCCGTGTTTAATTTGGATAGAATCTGTATTTATTGTACATGGAATTTTATATTTTTGAAAAATACAACTAACTCTACATGGGTCAGAAATGGAGAAAAATATATTGAAATGTGTTCCCACATGGAGGTATTTATGAAGCTGTTATATAACATTCCTCATGCATTTCATTAATAAAACAACATTGGTTAGATTACATTTGTAACTAATATACATGCATCCTATGGTCATGTATTGGCCCTTTCTTGTGTTAAAATTTCAAAAGTAAAGCAAACAGAAGTTAAAGACATAAAGCAGTAGGCCTATATATTTTCATTCTTTTGTCCTGAGGTTGGTAATAATGATTGCTGCATTAATTTAGGATGAGATTTCCATAAGAACTTGGCATTGGCTTAGCTCTGCTTAAACTGAAGTCAATGGTAAAACTCTCAGTGGGTGTACTGAAAAATCCATCCTTAAATGTCTCATTCATTGCATTGTTTTTTGTTGACAAATGCAAAAGCCAAACAAGGAAAACAAAATCAAAACAAGAGAGAAATTGCAATTAAGTCTGCTGCTTGTTGCAGTGGGTCACTCTTAAGAAGTTCTTTCTATTTCAAAAGGTTATACTGATTTGATTCCTTATACTTAAAATGGGGGAAGATCAGTGGGGAATTCTCTAACAAAATGGAATGAACTTTTTAAGTGCCACTACTGTAGCTGTATAAATCAGAGACAAATAAAGGTGCCTGCTGGGAGGCAGAAGCTGTTGATCAGCTCCTGAGTGGAGGATGCAGGAACAATGAAATCTGACAGGTTCCTGGAGGAAATGAATGCTCACAGCTGACTATGAGACTTGATCCCTGTATTTCAAGCAGTTGTGTTCTCTTTTTTCCGGTTGGGAGGGAAGACAGACGGGGAAAGGCCATCTCACTCTTGGCGCTATATAAGCTATTACAGTGTGAAGAACAAGTACATGTGTTCACAATGGATTCTTCTTTATGAATATGGGCACAAATCCTGTGATTCTTACCCAGGGTGCAGTTTTGTTCTGCACTTTTACCTTTAAGCCTCCTTTGCTCCCATCCAGTTTGGAGCTGCTGCAGAGGCGAGCAGTGCCATCAGTATAACTTAGCTAGCCCTTGGAGACTGCCTAAGATATGGTAGCCTGTCCTCATTGCCCAATATCCCTACAGAAATATATGGGCTCCAGCCCTGCCCCTTGACACCTTCAACAAACCCTGATACTGGGGCTTGTGGCAGGGCTCTCCCAGGTCTCATACATTTACATCCAGAGGTGCCAGGTTCAATCCCTGCAGATGACAGCCCACACTGGGTTACATAATCATACTCTATTCTGAATGTAATTTGCTCCATTACGTACCATTTGCACCTAGCACCACTGTTCCACTACCACCTCTGCACGTTAGGTTTCATATTATTACTATAGCATGGGGTGGGGGGAATAATAGCGGTACTGAGAAATAGGTCTCTTTTCCCCCAAAATATTATTGATTAATGATTCCTTAGTGCTGGAGGAATATGTCAACTGGTTAATACAATTCTACATATGCTCAAAGTCTGGGAAAGCAGGAAACATTCTGTTTAAAAACACTTGGTTACTTTTTTTCCTGTGTGTCCTTTGTATTGCTGGGATTATACAAGAAAACAGTTCATTTATCATCTAAAGTAATAATAACCCTGTGTTTGTACCATAATTACTACAGCAACTAATTATGATGTCACAAGCAGGGGATTGTGACGTAAGGCAGAGAATAAGCAGTAGGAGCAAAGAAATCCTAACAATACAGATCCTGTCTTCACATCAGCATCTCTAGTAATAAATAGGAAAGGAAAAAAAATACAGAAAATACACATGTAAAAAGAATCGCCTCTAGACAAAACATTTTTCCAAAGGAGTCAATGAATTTTTAAAGAACGGACAGTAAGGAAGGAGAATTTGCTAACAGTCTTCTAAAGCAGGATCCATGGAATACCTGGGACTACATTTATATTATGTCATGATGTGCTCTCCACAAGGCTGGAAATAAAACCAATACTTACATCCTGAGCTGCCATTTGTTGGAACCAAAGTGAAGTTGGAAGCCCGTGGGTTACGCACGATATCCTGCCAATGAATGGTGTCGGCGTAGCAAAGAAACTTGTTCTGGCCAACGTATACCCCTCCATTCAGTATTTCTGTATCAAAGAAGAAGACAACAAATTCTTCAGCATTAAGATGTACAGCTGATTAAATATACCACTGCTTCTAGGGGTGGGGAAGTAACATTGATTTTAAATGCGAGTATTATGGCTAAAATCCCTTGTAACTCTCTGAAAATTGAAGGGCAAACAGCTAGAAGAATTTGAAAACTTAGACCATCTATTTACACACAAAAGAGTCCCGATGAAGATAGCCACAAATTACAGAGCAAGCTCTTCACATCAGTCATACAAAGGGATTTGACAGTCTCCAGATGAGTTTGTGGGAACAACGCCTGCTGTTCTAGTCTACTCAGGAATGTACCCTTCATTTATTTGGAGGAGGGGAGGTGGAAATGTCCAAGATTTTGTTGAGATAAAATAATGAAATGATACGCTCTTCTAGTCAGAATCAAACATGCACAATCCCATGCTGTAAATGTAATTAAAAATATATGAACTAAATGGTCTTACTGGCAGTGGGAAGATAGGAATTCTCTTATTTAGGACTGGTAGAATTTGGTGCATGTGTCATGACCACTGAAAAGCATGTTCTGTGATTACACTGGCATGCAGTCTATCTGAACGGTTATCTTCATTCTATTCTCTACTGATAAGAGACGGTTCTATGCACGACTTGCCAACTCTCAGGTTAAATACTCTAGAGTCTTCTATGATAAAGGCCACATTCTCTCATGCACCTGAAATACAGTAGCGGAGAAAAGCTGTGTGTTTGTGGACCACACTTTGGCCTTATGGGCCAGGTTCTGGACGCCAGACACAGCTCTTTTGTCCTTCCTCAGACAACTAAGAATTCTCCTGACCAATACCACCACCACCCTTGCAGCCCTTCGCATAACGGGTATATGCAGGGGAGTGGAAATAGACAGAGTATTAGGATTGGGCCACATGTTATCACGAGGGTAACAGAAATACCCTCTCTCCTTTCAAGTGCATGTCTTCTCAACCATATATTTAATGTCTAGTTATCAGCAATTAATTATTTTTTCCATCTAAACTGTTTTATGATGGAAAATTGGGGGTTTTGACAAAAGGATTTTTGTGTGTGAAAATGTTGGCTTCAATTTCTCATCGAAAAACCAAAACACCCAAACCCAGACACATTTTGATTTGGGAGCTGCAGTTCTCCCCATTCATCTCTATGGGCTGTGCTTCTCAACAGGATTGCCTCTCCTATGATGCACCATGATCAGGGACTCCCTTGAGGCATTGCCACTTCTCATTAGGGAGACTATGGTGCATAAGTGAGAATTGTAGTCTCACTAGGGAGCCCAGTCTATAGAGTAGAATGGGATCATGAGGCACCCGGACTACAACTTCCATAAGGCCCTTTGGCAGCATTTGCAAATCAAACCAAGATATTTCAGTTTCCAGACAAAATATTTTGGTTTTTGAATTTCTGGTGAAAAAAAATGAAATTTTCCTTGGAGAATTTAGATGAAAACTTTTCTTTCCACTTTTGTCAAAATTTTCCATGAAAAAAAGCTCAGTAAACACCATTGATTATATCCCCCAAAATATTTTGCATTCCCTTGATGAAAGTCTCCTATTCTTGGAGAGTTGTCATCAGAAAAGGTGACCTATAGCTCCCAAAATTGAGTTTTGTAATTGAAACTGGTTCAGTAAAAGATTCTGCATCTCCCGCTTTGTTCTTTTTCAAAACAAGTCGGTAAGATGAAACTCATCTGCTTTTACCCAAAATACACAGAAGATCCATTATGGAAAACTCTAGGGGTGAGAGATTTGGTGCTGTGCCTCCAAGTGGCACGGCACAGAACTCACAGCACAAGGCAAGGAAGGGCTCAGATGGCTTTGCACCATCCTGAATGGGCTGCTCCAGGGGGTAAAGTTGTCCTTGAAGTAACAGGCAACACCGAGAAGCCGTCTTAATGAACGCAGCCTATCCCCAGTCCGTGTGGACGGCAGCACAGCCCAGAATCTCTGCAGTGACATCTATGTGCTCCATCCCTGCTCTGAAACGCACCTTCCGTTACTGAGGACACCATGTATGCCAGGGCTTTTGATGGGGTCCTTGGTAGGGTGACCATATTTACCAAAGTAAAATTGGGACACAGTGCAGGGCTGGCCTGAGCCACCTGGCATCCTGAGCCCCACCTGTACCCCACACAGGGCTGTCCTGAGCCACTTGGCGTTGCTGCTCGCCCAAGCCCCACGCTACTCGGGACTGGGGCTGACCACCCAAGCCCTGCACCGCCCTGGGCTGGCTGCCTGGGACTGGGGCTGAGGTTGACCGCCTGAGCCCTGGGCTGTCTGCCCAAGACCCACCACCCAGCACCTCGTGTCGCCACTGGCCTCCCCAAATGTTTCTCTTTTTTGGCTAAACTGGGAATTTGTTCCATTTGCTCTTGCCAACTGATCAGAGCAACTTGCAACTGGGACAAATGCCCATTTTTGCCAGAAAAGTCAGGACGTCCAGGACAGGGCTTAAAAAGGGGGACTGTCCCAGCCAAAACAGGACATATGGTCACCCTAGTCCTTGGGCAACATGCAGCTGTCCTCAGAAATCCTTCCCCAGCTTACAGCCCCCTTTACTCTGCTCCAGTCCTTTTCCCTGGCATAAAGGGGCCAGAGCGGGAGTGAGGCTCTCACTTTTGGGGGCTTTAACCTGATAGTGGTAATGTTTCCTTGAACGTAAGAATTGTAATTTACAGCAGTGCAAGCAAGAGAAAAACAGCCAAGTAGCCAGAGAAAGGCAGACAAAAACCCTACAGACTTTCCCCTCTACAAAACACCCGAGGTTCCTTTTCCCTGAACTCTTCTAGCAGATTAGACTAGGAAATAGAATGACAGGTCCCTTAGTGCAGGTTATGCTCTTTAACTGTGCAGATAGGAGCTAATCCATGTACAAGAAGTATTAGAAAGTGATACTCAAATTGGAAATGTACTTTAAATATAACTTACTGAAATAAAATCTTTTTTACTGTTTGTCCTCTTTGTTTCTAAAATATTTTTTGCTAATTTGTGAAGTTATTAGTATCTAGTCATTACATAATTTCTGTGGCAATGCTTACTTTTTTTTAAGCATTCCTTATTTCTCTGTCTCCTTAAAGGCCTGATTCCTCAAATCTCAATAGAGAAGGCTATTCTACTCGAGATAGAAGCAGCAGCAGCAGGATTTCTTTTCAGAACAATTGCTTTTCACCTTCCAGAAATCCTGTTGGTTCCACTGTTTCCTTTCTTGTTTTCCAGTGTTTCAAAGCACTGGACAAACTTTTAGCCACGTGACTCATCATTACTCTCATAGGTAAGAGCTGTGGAGTTAAAACCCCATGAGCCACTCAGTGTCACAGATGCAAGTCCTAGCAAAGAAAATTTGAAGGTTACTTACTAATGGCATCTTAGAATGACATTAACGGGTGCTATTGCTGCTAGGAGTGGCATCCTTCTTAAGGACACATTAAAAGTAAATCTTGCCTACTTTGCCGATGATTAAGGTTATTTGTAGTCTACAGATCCAGAGCAAATCTTTAAAAACGTCTCAGGGGAATATTAACATCTACAAACAAGAAGAAAATAAGACCCTGCATTTTTCACTACGAATATTAGGATTTACATATCATATAAAGGAGATAGTCTGCATAAAATAACATATTAAATAAGGGATCACATGCAAACTCCTCCTTCCTCCACATTAATCAGTTACCGGTATTGACATTTATTTCTAGGAAACCTTTGGTTTAAGAGCTTGTCTTTTCCACTGAAAAAGGGCTTAAAATGGAGACAATAATAACTATTTTGCACAGAAAGGAATCCAGATTAGAGGTAGACTACTGATCTGTCTATATGATATTCTTATGATCCCTGACATATCCCGCACAGCAGCTGTTAGCAATTCTGTCCCAAGAGAAAGGCAGGATTTAGCAGGACTTTTGAAAACATGGTTAGCGACCATTTCTCCTTTTTATCCCATCGACACACGATTAGCAAATCTGCCCCAAATCCTAATCCAAAACAATATTGTCTGACATACATTGAAGATCTACCTTCATCTCCTGCTAAACATTTACAAATGGATTTTAAATAGTGTTGCTAACAATTGATATATCCAAATACCTGCCAAAGACATAATTTATTTATACATGCATTCACTTGACAATGCTTATCAAAAATGGCCTCAATTTGCTTGATAGGAAACTTCTGTACATTCTGATACACTCAATAGCCCTTTATTCTAATATAGTTCCACTAGTTTCAATGGGGCTACATGTAGAGTAAGAAGCTATTAATTGTGAATAAGGGTTTAAGAATCAGGCCCCTTTCCTGCAACTACAATGAATCACAAGCTGTCACAAATGTTAACTCAAGGTAAACGTAAAAAGTTCTCTGACTTCTATTAGCAACCCTTCATTTCAATAATAAGCATTGCACTCATAGACTTTGAGGTCAGAAGTGACCATTGTGATCAGCTGGTTTGACCTTCCGTTCACTGCAAGCCACAGAACCTCACCCCACTCCTTGTCTGCCCTGGCCTTTCTTAGAACCAGATTCTGATACCCTTATTTCCCAAAGAATAGTCCTCCTGTCCAAGGATTATCTCACTGAAGTTAACAAGGTGACTCATGAAGGAAAACACTCGTAAACTGGACAAAGGATCTCAGAATCTGGCCTTTGCAAATAAGAAAGCTAATTCAAGTTCCGAGGCTCGTTTTTTCCTTCAAATACTTTTGCTCTCCTCCTCCCTTTCTGTTGAATACACACTCACTCCTCCTCTTCAGTTTGCTCTCTTCTTTGTCCTCTTGAGCCAGGTCCTCAGCTGGTGCAAATCAGCCCAACTCCATTGACTTCTGTGGAGCGACATTTGATTTACACAGGCTCAGGCATCTGGCCCCAATGCGATTTGCTTCCTGCTGCTCTTTTACCAAGAACAATACTTGGAAAGACCTAATACACCCTGATACGTGTTAAGCAAATGAAGCACAACTGTAATCAATATACAATAGAGTTACAGTATAATG